ACTTTTGGACGTAAAAACATAAGATTATTTAACATTTATTAATGGTATCATCATGGTCTGTCCTGTGCCGAATGACAATAAAAAAACCAAAATTATTTCTTTACTAAAACCTCTGTAACTTTGCTCCAGTTCATTTTAGCAGCATGAATCTTTGTACAGGTGATGTCCACAAGTGGATTTATGGTTTCTAAGAGTTTTTAGCCTGATTCATTATGGTTTTAAATGGGTTATATACTGTTTAATGAAAGAATATTAAGACGGGAGGAAAAAATGTAAAAAAAAAAAAAAGCTTCATCCTCAATATCTCTAAAACAGGAGCAGCTGTTTTAATACTTACACTTCTGATGAAATCTCCCAAGTGTTAGCTTTATTTTTATACCAAGATTATTTAAGTAGAGTTTGTAAATGCTGAGATACACTCAGATACATTTCAGCAAAAACTTCAAGAAAAGCCCTTGGGTCTGAAGAGGTTAAAGTTCTCGTTAAAACACTGATGCCTGCTGCAGACCTGAGGTCTGTGCAGGGTTTACTTCTCCTGCTGCCTGCGTGGGTTTTCAGGTGCTCCGGTTTCCCCCCACAGACCTAAAAACCTTCAAAGGTCGCCTTCAGGAAAAGAGATCTGTGATCTCTGTGGGATTCACCTGCTTAAAGAAAGCTTGAAAATAAATAATTAAAATCTACTTCAGCTGATTTTATCTCCTTATAAATAGTTTATTTTTGTGCATTTTTTAAACTTTTTATGTTTTAATCATAAAGTTTTCTTATGAATCRGTTGTTTTTATGCCTCCTTTTAGTCTTTTTAATACATCCTTTAGTTTTACTTCTTTTRGCCTTGTTTTGTTTTTATTCTTTCTCCATCTTTTCAGACAAATTATTCAGCTGCTCGTCGCTCAGCATTATCACAAACTCACTCATTTTATTTTACTGAATGACAAACTGTTATTACCCGTTAATTAATCAGATGTTCTATAACAGAATCAGGTCCATCATCAGGGTTAGAACGAAGAAACGGGTCTTACCCATGCTGAGAGGGTGGGCTTCGTCTGGCAGCCTGGACCCGCTGCCTCGGGGGTCTTATAAAGCCTGCAGCCCCTCCAAGCGTGAGAACCCCGTTTAGATCGTCTATCAGCAGACTCAGCGTGTGGACATCACACCAACGGCAGGATGAAAGAGCCCAGCGGGTCGGGTCAGGCCCGGTGTGTGAGTGTGAGGCGACAGCTTCAATCGGCCCGGAAAAGAATGTTTGGGTCACTTTCAGAGGATTAAGCAGCGGGGTCATGAGGCTCTGTAAACGCTTTAATCTGACTTCGTTAGGAGAAACGTGAAGAGAGCTGTCAGGTCAGCTGTCAGAAACAGTTACAGCTCGCTCACTTTCACTGATGCTGAACTCAAACGTTGGTGTGGGACTCAGCCGTCGCACAAATATTTCACCAAACTTCCATAACACTATTAGAAAGTATCATCTTATGTACATCTACCACTTACCCTTTGGACTCAAACCAATTCAAGATGGCCGCTGCCTGCAGCCAATCAACCTTTAACCACTTTGGGTAGTTTCCTCTCCAGAAACGGCGCGGCCTGACAGACGACTAAAACATCATGAAAACATGAGTAATGTTCTATAAGCTGCTACAACTCCACCGTTTCTTCACAGAAGCTGATCTGGGTCATTTTTAGGATTTATTTGACCTTTKTGTGAAGCACTTTGTACAACTGAGATGAAACATGCTCCTACACCCCCAAGACCTGAAGCAGACATACAGGAGACTAGAGCCAAAGACCCCAAGAGGGACCCCAAGCATGGAGCCCTTAAGGGCACCAGCGCAGGAGGAACCGCTTTTCCACACCCCAGATTGGACCATAGGAGAGAACCAGTAGAGCCCCACCAGCGACCCCACACAGTAATCCCTCTGGGCCAGCAGTGACAAACTCACAGGCCCCGCCAGCACCGGCCACACCRGAGCAGATMCAGGCATGGACACAGAGGCCCGAGCCCCCGGGGGCGCACCAACCCCAGGCCAAGACCCGACAGGACCGGAGGACCCAAGCCCCACCAGGCAGTCACTGGGCCGAGCCAGCACATGCCCAAGTGCCCAGCCCCAGACACTGAGAGCCACCAGCACACCGGCAGGCAAAGGCACCACCCACCAGAGGGCAGAGTGGCAGGAGGAAGAGGCCCACCACCAGCAGTGGGCCCCCAGGTGAACCAGAGGAGGGGACAGCCCAAGTGCCAGCCTGACAAATATCCAAACATACACAGAAACAATCACACACATCCTCACACCCACTCATTCAGAGACACACAAGATGGACGCCATAATCCACTCACACTCCCCCTACACACTCTATACCCCCCAGGTCCAGGACATGCACCCGCCCCCTACAGAGGGCAGGTCACATCCAGACCCAGGAGGTAGACCCATTCATTCTGGAGTGGAGAGAAGCAGACAGGCAAGGCTCGGCCCGGTCCATACCCGGCCGACCGGTCAGCCCCCCCGCCGCAGCGGAGCCAGCCCCGACCACCCCCACACACCCCCAACGGCCAAGTGCACCCCACACACCACCACCGACCACCTGCTGGACTCTGGCAGCCACTCGGGCCAGCGAGCAAACCACGGCAACAAAGAGCCATAAACCCCGGGAATCCAAACGGCTCCAGGGAAGCCGGAGTGCCAGCCCCGTCCCTGGCTCCCCCCCAGGCCGTGAGCCCACCCGCAGCCCAGGTCCCTACCAGGCGGTCCGCCCATCCTCTGGACCCCATCCCCAAATGGCAGTCAGGGAACGGRGGAGTGAAAAAGACCCTGACACACGCCCCTTCGATTTTGGACGTCCACCATGTGTCTCAGTCATTCTCACAAAATGTATTGATGTAATGTCTTAAAATTATTTTATTGTGTTTGAATCATTTTTAATCACTTGTTCTCTTTGATCTACATCTCCTACAGATCGTTAAAATGTCCAAACATTCAAATGATGTGATGACATCATTTAGCGACTTGTTTACTGACTCTTCTTACTGAGGAGCTGGAAACTGAAACTAGACTCGGGTCCTTCAGAACTGAGTCAAAAGTCTCAGGACAGCTGCTCTGAAAACTGCAGTGAGCTGAAACAAATCTTTCTGAGGAGAGAGAGCTGAGCTGAATCACAGCATTATGTTTTTAAAGTCAGCTGATAAAACTGCTCACATGTTGATTTTATTGTACAGATTTAGGAAACTTTTATCCACGGTGACTCAGAAACTCGATTATTGTCAGGGAAACATGCCTCTGTGACTAATGACTGAAACACGCTAAAACTTCTCCCAGCAGCTTTTTGCATTGTTGTTGAYTGATGCATCATGGGTAACCAGTGGATGCATCAGCCTCTAAAAGAAGAGCAAATATTTCACAGATTACTTCAAGAGATTCCAGCATAAATCAGAGTTTCCATGTTAACAACAAATGGGAAAAAATAACAATAGTTGATTAAATTTACATGGTGATGCAGAAAACTTAAATTTCATCTTTTTTCCAGAGAGCGTTGAAACAGTTTTCAGTTGGGGCTCTATGTATGAACCTGAACACATTTAATTACATCAAAAACATATTTATGCTGTAAAATTTCAAAGCAGACATTAAAAACATGAGTTTTATTGGGRCACAAGGTCCAGCGTCTTCATTTTCTTCAACAACCTCGATTGTTTGTCGTTTACAGAACGATTCCGTTCATTTTTACAGTCTACCCTGAGACGTGGCGTTACCAGTGCTGGCTCTAGACATTTTGGTGCCCCAGGCGAGATGAAGAGCAACCCCCCCCTCCACCCCGAACCATGTCCCACCCACCCCAATTTAAACCCCTAAAAACAAGTTTAACAGTGTAAGGTACTATGGTAAACTTTGATTTATTTGCTTTCCCAGAAAGCAAATAAATAACATACATGTCAACTTGTACAGATTGTGCATAAGTTATAAGTATTTTACATCATTTTGCAGGTATACGGACGTATAGAGCAATCTCACGGATTTTTTCAAGTCTTACGGAATTTTT